AGCGTTTCAGGTTTGTTTAAACACAGGTCTCCAACACTTAGTTTAAATAAAACAAAGGGCAAAAGTAAAACATTATTACCATAGTTTTAATAAGGTTACAAATCGGATGGAAATACACTGAATATAGAGGGTGCAAACTAGATTTGAAACATCATCTTGAAGAGAGTAATAAAACTCTCTAGTAATTACTTGATTATTGACATGTGACGACTAGAGTGAGTGAGTGAGTTGCTAAGTGCCTTTTCGGTAAGTACTGTTAGGGTTTGACCTATTGTCATAGCGATGTACATCTCCAACACTTCTGTATTGTTTAAGTTATGTTTATCTCTCCACGAAAAAGCAACGGTGCCTGATCTCAATCCCGGCTTACAACACAAAGGATCGAACCTGACGAAACAAACAAAAAGCGTCAAAAACTAACCACGCAGTGGATAAAGTGGAGATGGAAAAAGGTTGTGATCTTACTTAAGGCTTTGAATAGTGCATAATTAGTGCAGAAACAACCCTAAGCTAGGGTTTTTGTAAAACCAACCAACTGTAGCCGGGTTGATCAAAAATGCGTGCCAAAGACCGTCTAAAAACAGAAAGTGATAATGTAGGCACTTTTTAATTCAAGTTAACCTGCTGCGTACTGAAAGAAAATGTCAGTTAGTTCTTCATTCTGTTGTCATATTGATCAATGGTGACGAATGAGTGTTTGAACACTGACTCGGTGAAGATCATAGGGAGTAGAGTTTTGTCATCGAGGTCAATTAGTGTCAGCCCTATACGCACTGACTGACGAATGCATCAAATACTCTTGGTAGAGGTTGGTTAAATTTGCGCAATGCATGGAGCGTCTCGATTGGGTGCGCAGACGCGCCAGTTGGGGATAAATTGACAGACAAATTATCTATCGCTTCCTGAACTTTATGCTGCATTTGAAAATGTAGTGAAAAGTATTTTCGTTAACGCTGCACGCGGTAGTAAGGAATTCCACTCTAAGCAGTAGATACTTTCTCAGTCAATAGACACTCAGGTTCGGTTCGTAAGCAAACCCGTTTGAACCTCCATACAAACTCTATATTCACTGATTTCCCTAACGACCAAGGACACTTGTGGGGTTACGCTTTGGATGGTTTTTTGTGTTTTTTCAGCTTCTTCAGCAGCTAAGGACATGTACGCCTGGTAGCAACCGCATCAGCCTCTGAGAGTCGTATTCAAATGAATTCGGCGACCTTCAGATCACTGTTCGTCGCAATTTTTTCAGGGCGCCTTGCTATTGATAGTTTTATTGTCCTAAAAATACGAGGGAGGCTAGGTACACGTTGCGTTCGTTCGTTCGTTGCGCTACCCGACCCGAACCTCTATCGATTTTCGCTCCGCCGCACCGTTTACTTTTGCGCTCGGTTAACCCTTTAACTCCCATGAGTGACCAAGAAAGAATTTCTCCTTACCAAATCAATACAATATCATACAGACACGTGATGAGAATTAAGAAAAATATCAGCTTGGGGATTGTTAGTTGATCTAGTACCAAATTCTCAGAACTAACATCATAAGAATTGTATGGCAGGCAGTAAGGAGTACTAGTAATAAGATCTTGAGAGTGAAAGGTTTAACTGTCTGGACGCCTGGAGCAAGCTACCAAAATAGGAAGATACATACTCAAGTTAACTTTGAAAAAGCATTTGCTCAACGCACTTGATTTCTTGCTGTTTTTCACTTTCTTTTTAGAGTTGAAACCCACCTTAAATTTCCGATTCGGAAGTTACGGTGTTAATATTGTCGAAACCTCATTTATTTCGCTCCAATTTAAAATCAGATATTCAAAATGAAAGATTTGTCTGCTTTAGTGAAAAGCAGTACAGTCAACTAGAGAATTTGAAGTGATTTGAAGTGCACAAATTGGCGAATTGATATCAAATCTTTACCGCGAGGCTTTTTTGCGAGCTAAGCAGTAAGAAGATGAAAAGGATAAACGTCTGATGGTTGATTTACAAAAGTGTCTCCTGTTCTTCATAAACTTTTTTGCGTGCCTCTCTATATGCGCGCAGCAATAATATTTCAGAAAAAAAAGATTGCCTTCTAAAACTCTGGCATGTACCGTCGCGATTGGCTTAAGACTAAGGGTCAGGATGCCGCAGGCAAGTAAGCTTTCGCGAAAAAATTACCCTTAGTTCCAGGCATTACTCATCCCTGAATAATCTCAAGAGATAATCCTTTGATAAGCGCTTTTGTCTCGGTAGAACGGATGACACTAGTGGGGCGCTGCACGCTGCACGCTGTTGACACAGCGAAATGATTCAAGGGTATAGGCTTGGTTTTTGTATTCTAGTCTCCGTACCCACGCGATTTCACCAACTCATTTCTCTTTCCACTTAACCATGCAATGAAAGAGTGAGATTTACCGGTGTAGGGGAATGTAGGAGGCGGGAAAGTGGAAACGGGGGAGGGTGGAAGATCATACACCGGCGCCACACTGCCTTTTCATATATAGAAAGCGAGGGTCACATTGCGATTCCCCCATAGGATCCCCATTTTCCCCTAGCCACATCCTTATGGTCCTAAATTTCTTCAGAGCTGCGATCCACGCCAATCATACAGGCATGTTGGCTGTCAGAGATCCAAATGCTGCAAGAGAACGCTCTCTTAGCTTGAAATTAATAACCAAGCGGAGTAGGTCGTTCACCTCATGCTGAATGATGTGACCACAAGGATTTGTTTACTCCGGTTGCAGACAGGAGCCCATCATCTCCTGTTGCAGATTATTTTCTGATTAACAGCACGAGATCAAGCTTAATCCTTAATCGTTAGCCCTTAAGTGTCTTAAGTGTTACACGAATTGTCTTGTTTGTCATTGAACTAGTAAATGACGAGCATCCACGGAAAAATTTGCTAGCGAAAAAACACCCTCACTTATCCATAATTATGCCATTAATTGTGTTGAAGTGCATTTCGATTGAGTGTCGCGTAACCCAGAAAAAATTAAATTCATCATAACAGTCAGAAAGAGTAAAGAAACACGTGTAAGGGAGACAATAAGGGCTCAAAGGAAAAAAAAAACAAGCTAACAGCTCAGAGGGTGGGAAAACGCGAGTAACCAGGCCTGCATTACCGTTCATTTTTGCATATCATTAGTCAAGAGGGTGGCTCGGCTGTTTTAGACCAATCAAAGAGCGAAGTAAAGAAAAGCCAATGCAGTCTCGGATTACCTTTGATTTTGGTTGAGCTGAGCCTGGATTGAACTATTGATCTTTATTGTGCTCTCTAAATACTAATGAGGATAAATCAAATATATTAACCAATCACGTCAAGCAAGGTCCTTTACTGACCACGTTTAATATCTCTAGACACCAACTAAGGTATCCAAAGGCAAACTTCTTACGAAAAACATCGTGAAATGACAACATGTCTTTTCAAACTGCTGTTTTCACGAAGTCCCATTGTACATCTTAAAAATATTATATTTAGTGGGAACATCCTATGCCTTTTTGTCGATTCACCGATCAAAATACAGTGGATTACAATATTTCTAAACAATATCTGCTTCAATTTTCTTTTCTTTCGTCATCTTCCTTTTTAAAGCGGATTCTCTATAAAATTATATCAGGAATGTTTACATAGAGGTTGAAAATGAATTTAATTTTAATGCAATTTGGAAAACAATGCTTAGCTGTAACTTGCAAATGTCCTTCTTAGGAGGAAAAAATTACTGTGGTTATCATATGCTGGGGAGGTGATGGAACAAAGAAGCCCAAAATACCAGCACCACAACACAGGATACGTTGTGAAAGACAGAGGAGACACAAAAAATGAAGATGGAAAACCAAAGACCCCTAAAAAAGAAAAATGAGGAGTTCAAAACACGAAAACAAAGACCTCTAAACATGAAAACAAAGACCCAAGAACACAAAGACGCAGACTCCCCACACCGTCTCACTTCTTTTTTCTATCAAGATGACATTTTTAAAACCTGCTTCCTGTTATTGCTCATAATAATCAGTGTTTTCTTTAAGGTTTTAAGTCGCCGGAGCTTTTTTAAAGGTAAATGGTTGTGGGTCTCGAAATCCAATATGGCGGACGAAACGTCATATTGTTTGTACTTTCCTGCATCCGCAGCAAGATTTGTCAAAAAGACAGTCCCCATCAGAACGTTTTTAAACTAACCTTGAGTCAGAAGTCTTTTTATGTTTTCAGGAAAGATAGGCGGTGCAAATTTTTTATTTTTATTGAGCCCAAGTTTAGACCTGATAAACATCATCTCTGTACGGGCTCTTGAAGCAATGAAAGAAGCCGGCGCAGAGAAGCCAGCGTACTTCGTCATCTGCCGGCTCTTATCTACAACCCTGAACAATAACTAAATATTATTACGCAGAATTATTTAGAAGCCTCAGTAGAGCTAGATGGATCTGCTGCCATATCAGAACTATCACGTAAAAACAAGTACAAATGTAACGAAAGTCTCAGAGCAAGTAAAGGTAATAAATAGTCTGTTTAATGGACCTAAATAGGATGATTAGCTTGTGATTCAAGCTAGCTGTTCGAAAATACCTTTTCGTCTATCCGTCTTCTGTGTATTCCTATATATATCGAAAAAAGATGTTGCACCTCAAAACAATTGGTGATTTGCTCAACGTGTTCTTGGCCTCTTCCTGGCGGTAGCGCCGATCGAAATGTAGACGAGGCCTGGGTTTCACGCCTGACGGGCTATACTTACTGTAACTCCGGCAATTTTTAAATCGCCCTTTTTTTAAATTCAAATCTATCTCCAAAGAAACCTCAAATTTCACCACGTTTTGACTCGTCATTCATCAGCCTAGTTATCATGATTTTTTTCTTTTCTTTCAGAAAAATAAATTTAAATATTGCATTACTTGCTTGCGAAATGTCACGCAACTCCTTCGACTAGTGATTGTTTACGAAATGTCACGCAACTCCTTCCACTAGTGAAAGGAGAGCACAGAAAGAGCTCAAAAGGGGGCATTGGGGTCATTCTTTGCTGGTTTGATTAGACAAAGATGAGCAAAGTTGCAATATTTTTGCTTTTTACTCTGTTAATTACCGGGATAATATGTCTTTTGAGCACTGTTATACATTTAGACAATTCAGGATCACTCTTGCGTGGTTCTCTCGACTCGAGGTATACAAATAATCTTACTCTCGCCAGAACAAGTCGGAGACGTGCCGATTATTTGAATCCAAACCTCACATATGAACACTGCAAAATCAAGTTTAAATGGGGTGAAATGTGCCCAAAGTTGTACACTGAACTTGGAGGAAAATGTGATTTGGTTGATGACACTTTTCAATGCCCAGATATTCGTAACTATTCAAAATTTCGCCCGCGTCAAGCTCAACTCGTCATGACACGAATGCTCCGCATCTTCGATATCCTCGCACAAAAACACGGAATCAAGTACTGGATCAGCCGCGGGACTCTACTCGGAGCTGCTAGACATCATGGATTCATCCCCTGGGATGGAGATGGCGATATTGAAATGCCCTTGGATGATTACGTCAAATTTTTTCAAGTTGCGGCTAAGGAGTTACCGGCCGATATGTTTTTTCAGAACTCGGTCAGCGACCGTGCGCTGAGACCGTCCGATGTAAGCGGTTATCATAGGCATGAAGTAGTTTTTATCTATCAAGCGACATTTAATCCACGACTCAGAGACAGAAACAGTTGTTATAAATACTGTATGACCTACAATTGTAAGTGGCACGATGGACTTATGGTCGATATTTTTGTAACACCAAATGTGGACAACGCGATATATCCTTTGAGGCGGATGACGTTCGAAGGATTCCCACTCAACGTACAGAATAACTGGAGAAAGTATTTAGTATCTGTCTACGGAGAAAAGTGGTTTGAATATCCAACGAACAGACCACCAGAGGAAAATCCTGATGTCTTTAATAGCTGTGAAAAACTTATGAAACGGAAACAATAACTGCTGAACCGAAATAGATTGCCATAGGCCAGTACTAGTACTGGAACACAAATGGGAGCGCGTTGCTTATACTCACTGATTAGTTTCAGTTTTCAAAGTGTTGTTTCATCATGCAGCAAAGGAATAAAATTTTTCTCGATAGTTTTATTCTTTTAGGATTAGATTGTTGGTTTTCAATCGAAGAGTCTGTAGCGATTACTTAACAAAGCATATGCGTGTACCGAAATTATTAAGTTATTGAATCATTCCCAATATGTATCTACTTTGGTCTCTTCCCAAATTGACAAAATTTGCATGTTGTGGAGCATGTGAATAAATAAGTAGCATAAGACTGTGCGTGCCTGATGGCCTGAGGAAACAGTGAGCGTAAAATGTACGAATTTTTGTAAAAGAACAATCGAAATCGATCGCACCAATGGTGGTCTATCTTTGTTCTTTTCAAAATGATTTTCCTCCATCGCTCTTTAATTCAAGCTTTGTAAACGATTCCAACGGGTGACAGTAGACGGGTAGTGTCGTAATAAAGATGATGTGTCACAAGCCAACCACTTTTGTCTACGCAGCCGTTCTTTGGGGTCGATGTCACGTAACACGGCAACCGCGAAGGATATCACCTTCAAAGTCAAGCGCGTACACGTTGTCACAGTGATTTTTTCTTAGTTCTTTGGCTTTAGAAAACGGCTATGCAATCGTGAGTCCGCAAGAAATTGGTGACAATGTTTACAAGTAAGCAGTTTTCAAAACAAAAATACATAAAAGAAAATAAGAATAGTCCACCGCATGTTATTTCGCCAAAGCGCCAAGCACTATTCTTATTATATAAGTTGTGAAAAAAATCTCGAGAATGGATACTACGCCACGCTATCTAAGTCTGTGTTGGGGGGTCTCTCCTCTCCCCTTTAAATGTTTGTTTGAGGTGAAAACAAGGAAGGGAGTCAGATGCTGTGGGCTGCTGCTCCCTTTGATCACGTGGCAACATCTGACAATGTGAAATCGCGAACCGATTGCCAGGAACGAACAACGTTTGCCTCTCTTGTTTTATCATGATGATTATAAATAGGAACAAGCGATCAAACAATCATGTGTCTATTTAGAATGGGCAGAACCGCGGCTTCCCATTTCCGGGATTGTTATTTACAATGCATTGCTTTTATAGGTTTCGATAGACCTGTCCCGATTGTGTTTGTAAAATGCTAGAAAGTTGTTCATTGGACTGATAAAAAATTGGCAAAAATCCAAAAAGTTGTCACCTGAATCTCAAACTGCGTTGTTACCTGAATTTCTTTGTATTTTTAGACTCAAGTTTATTAAAAACTTTCATTTTTCGTTCTTCACAACAAATGCTAACATCGGTGGAGTCAAAAGTTGCCGAGCACAATCGGGAATAGGCCGAGGTTTCGATCTAACCGCATCTTCCTTCCTAACTTTTAAAGAATGATTCTTGCATGTACATCCTTTTATTTCAATTTTGGTCCTTGTGACTGTCCTTGATATTCTCCCACTTGCTGCGCAGCTTTCTTTTTCTGTAGGAGGCTTGCTTCATATCGATGCTAGTCCCTTTAATCATGTATCCAACAGGGCTGAAAGAGGACCCCAAGAAAGACAAGCGCAAGGAGGTACAGTCCCGATTATGAGACGAAAGTTGTCGATTGCTTGATCGACTTGACGGGAGCGGAAACGATTGCACAACGAAGAACTATCTTTTCGTCATTGGTTACCGCTGTGTCGAGCTACAGCATGCTCAATTGACGCCATTTTTCTCTGTCGAGAACGTGGGTGAAGGATATTTCAAGAAAAAGACTTTAAATTAAGTTTAGAATGCCGAAGAACAAAGGTGAGAAAAAGGATTTGTCATATATTCCACGATCTTCGTATTTTAAACTCTGTTTGTCTCATTTTTACACAGGAAAGGGTGGTAAAAATCGACGAAGGGGAAAGAACGAGAACGAGTCAGAGAAACGTGAACTTGTCTTTAAAGAAGATGGTCAAGGTTTCTAGGCTTTTATTTTCCTATTTTCTTGACTTTTGATTCGTTTCTATTCTGATTTTATTTTTCTTTTGACTTTTGAAAAGAGTATGCTCAAGTCTTGAAGATGTTAGGAAATGGAAGGTTGGAGGCACTTTGTTTCGATGGGGCTAAGCGACTTTGTCATATTCGCGGAAAACTTCGCAAAAAGGTCGAGAATCTTTTTATTTGAATGGATTATTTGATTTTTTTTGACATTTTTTTCGGTATTTAAACTCCATAAAATCTATTGCAATATCTGTAATTTATGGCCCTGTAAGCACTCCTACCTATGTGCTTCAACTATGGGTAGCTCGGTAATTATCAATTATAGGAAAGAGAAAAAGGCAAAAGATGTAGTTAAATTAAGTAACTTTACAAGCATCAGAGCCTCTGTATTTTGCAGGTCTGGATCAATACTGGTGATATTATACTCCTTGGACTGCGTGATTACCAGGTATAGTTGACTGTTTTTAGAGAGATTTATTGAGCATTATAATATTTTAAAGAGATCTTTAGATTTCAAGGTTTGCCCAGGTCATGGAAAATGTGAAAAGCAATGGAACTGAACAATTGTATCAATTTCCAGGTCAGCAATCCATGAAAAAGAATTTTTGGGTTTAGAAAGATTTGAAAATATCAAGAGTAGTTCTCTTCTCAAACAGATAGTACAAAATAGCAAAGAGAAAAAAAAAGGTGTTAGTTCACAGACACAGAAAAGAGTCTTAGAAAGAATCATGGATCATATCAAAATGTTATATTCTTGAATCAATGTAACAAATGTTGTTTATACCTCTCTGAATATGTGTGTGGCAAATTTCCAACTGAAACCCTGTTGGTATGAGAATTGGACAAGAATGATGATGACTGGTTGAGGCATTGTTAAAACCTGACTTTTTTTCGGGGGGCACTAAAAAATATTTAGTAACAGAGTAGTCTTGAAATTTGGTGTTGCTTCAAAATTAGCACCCTTTGGCTAATGTTTTTGTGTCCTGACACATAGATGCTGTATTATTTTTTTATATCCTTACTAAATCTCTGTAGCTGCTGTACATTTTGAGTTTTATAGGTTTTAAGAAACATTGCAGCATATTCTCTTTGTTTCAATTTAAAGGATAACAAAGCAGATGTCATTTTGCGTTACAATCCTGATGAAGCACGGAACTTGAAGGCCTATGGAGAGCTCCCAGACAATAGTAAGTCATTTCTTAGAAATAGTGGAATAAAAATATAAAAACTCTAAGATTCTTGCTGGGCAATTTGTTTTCCAGAAATGGAGAAATTAAAAATCTTGGGAAACTGTGTTCCACTCAAACATCAGTGATGAAATTCAGGTCTTCAGCAATTTCAATGTTTCTATGTGAAAGAAAATGCAGGCATTTGATTTTTGTTTTTCAAGTATCTAGACCCTCTAAGAGGATGTGAACAGTAACAAACCATTTTGGAACAAAATACTTCAATTTTGTCTTGTTATTGTGATTGAAAAGATACAGATGAATCGGAACTTCATCTTGATGTTATTGTTTAATCTGGAGTGGGTGATGCATTGGTGTATCAAGTCATAGAATCCTTTCCTATGCTATTAGTATCAAATGAGTATAAAGGAATGTTCAGAGTCCATCTCTTGTGCAGTACTTTTAAGTTTCTTTTAAACTGTCTTAATGAGAGAGTTTATCTTATTGACTGACTGAATTGGCCCAAACAGTCAGTGTCAATGAACCTGTTCTAGTGTGATGAAAAGAAATTATTTTTCTGGTTGTCTTTTCATTGTTATCTTGTTTCTTCAAGTTGCAACCTCTGTTTTGTTTTCAACACTTTGCAGTTAAGATCAATGAAAATATCGGACAAGGAGGAGAAGGAGAAGAAGATGAAATCCAATTTGATGATTTTGAGGATGATGGAGAAGATGATGCTGATATTGATGCAGTAAGTTTTTGTTGAGATGATTATATTTGCAAATTATAATTATATCAAATTATATATTCTCTTGAAGCAGCAGTTTTGTTTGCTTATGTTGGCTACTTGTTTCTGAAGGTTCAGCTACCTTAATTAGCAAAGCAGTGAAATTTCTGTCTCTAATTAAAATAAATTCTAACTTTTGCTGGCTAGTGTTTTCTTTAACGCTGACCACCAAAACATCTCTTGAGAATACTGTGTGTAGGGGACTCCAGATAACCAAAAGTCTTGGTGATTCAAACTTTGTGCAACCTCAGTGAGAATCAGTCTCGTCTTAAAATAGACTCCAATTTTTGCTGGCTCGTGTTTTCTTTAAGGCTGGTCACTAAAACATCTCTTGAGAATTCTATATATAGGGGATTCCAGACAACATAAGTCTTGGAGATTCAAACTTTGTGCTAGCTTAGTGAGAATCAGTTTAACCTGGATAGGTGCCTAAAGTTGAGCTTAAGAGGACTCTTGATAGTTCAAACTTATGATGTAAATCAAAGTTGTAGATGAATCAAGGCTGCTTTCTTTCCTTCAGAACATTTGCTACGTGTTTGTAATGTTACCTATAATAACTCTTAACATGTTTGTCTCAGAAATGGTGGAAATGTATACTTTATGAATAGAAACATAACAGAGATTTGTTTCCTATATTTTCTGGTCCTTTCCTCTCAACACTGATACTCAAACACTTTAATTCAAACCTCCCACTAACTCAGACCAGGTGTGGTTTTCCTTCAGAACCTTTTCAAGGCATTTTATATGTGATAACTCTAACCTTGTTTGTCAATACATGCAATTCATGACAAGTCTGAACAGTCAGTACTCTAGTTGTGAGGTAAATAAGAGCTCTGTGCTGGAACTCTTACAAACTACGGTATTATTACTTGGCAAGGTAGTCCCTAGGTATATGTGAACATCCTGATTAGTTCTTACTATATGTAGGTCAGGATTTTGCCCTAGGACTGTTTTCACGTAAATGGTCATAAGCTGTGAATTTTTGTTTGCGCAGGCCAGTGAATTCAAAATCAAAATATGTTTGATCTAAATATTATTTAATAAGCCACTTATTAATCTCACTTGTTTGAGCTGTCCTTGGGAATATTGGCCCTTGGTTGTTTTTGTGCAGACCTTGCTGTGCTACCTTGTCCTCAGGCCAATATTCCCAAGTATGGCCCTTGTTCTCAGTGAATAAGAAATTATCATTTTTTTCTACTCCACAGATTTAATGGAAACTCAACAAACACCAACCAAGAGAAAAGAATACCGTATTACTTTGCTTTCATAGCATTACCTCAAGCAGAAAATACTAAATACATCCTATCATATTTTATAAATGTGCTATCTTTTGCAAGTGGCTTCACTAATTTTAGCATGTTTTTAAGAAAATGATACATCAAATGGTTCTGAACCATTATTGGAACATTATGTCTTGCTTCCAGTAGAAGAACAGTGTTCCTTTAAATGATTAGGATTGTGAGAGATAAGCACTTGTTATTCTTATTAGAAATCACCTATACAACTGTTTGAATATTTTTTGTAAAGAAATATTAAGCTTAATATTATAGGCACTCAATTACTGGTCCTCTATAAGTTAAGATGCAAGGCTGGTATTCCTACATGTTGTCAATAGGACTTGAAATCGTTTTGTTTGCTTATATATTGTTTCATGCACAAACTTTAGCTTCAAAGTTGTTTCAGATATACTTCATTGTTTGTACTGCATATCACCTTGAACCTTTAAGATAACAATTTTCCCTATTTAAAATTATTCACTCTGTTTTTCTTGTTAATCATATAGATAAAATTGACGTAGATAAATGTAAGGAAGAACTACACTTCTCTGTGAAAGGGTTGATTTTGCTTGTGTATGACAGTGAAAGTAATGTGTGTATGTAAAAGATGTTAAATTGGTATTGTTGCACTAGAAAATCTACTTCTTGCAAATTATCCTCTAAAATTTGACAGCAAGCAAAATACAACAGTTAAAAACAGCAGGCAGAAGTTGTAAGCCTGTTGTCAAACATAGTTTTGATTAAAATTGCCACTCCTTCTGGATATGTCTAATTAAAATCTGGGAATGAAAAGACACAGAGAAAAGGGGGTTGGAATCTAACATAAACTTGAAAAATGTTCATGATTTTTTATTGTATAGATAATAAACTGCTCAAAACCAAGGTTAGAATGATTCAAATAAGAGGACTTGTTGAGCATGTTAAGATACAGGAAGCAGACAAAGCAAAAGGTCAAGCCCATAGCCATATGTCCTTAAAAGTTGACAAATGAAACCCAACCCATAAGATATTCACGACTTATATTGACTGACCTTCCTTATAGGAGCTTAAAATTTTACATGGATTTAAATTTGTCCTAATTATTGTGGGAAACTTCACACAAATTTAGTATAACCCAAACTATATCTGTGATTTTGAAGTGAAAATAGAAAAATTGCAATTTATGAGTATGGTGTGCCCAGGTTTTACATTCAGTTCAGTATGAAATAGTTCACCCACGTAACAAGTAAATGCTAAGTACACTAAATGTAGTTTTCTCTCTTTCAAGAGCATTTCATAGTGGTGATCAGTTCATTGATCCCATTTCACCAAGTAGATGGTACAAAATGGTCTGATAGCTGGTGGGTGTTTACTTCCCACCAGCTTCTAAAGACAACACAAGCTGAAGCTTTGCCTGTTGTGTCTGACTTTTCCTTGGTAGGGGTTGGTCTGGGGTGTAGTGTCCGTTTGATCTTCTATGTTTTAAAATCTGGATTGCTTGTCCACAACCTCATCAAAGATTTATGATATTTGGACTCGCCATCACACTGTTACGTTGTCACAGTATTACTAATTTTCCTCTTGTTCAGGCCAGTTAAAAAAATGGAGACCACTGCTCTAAAAGTAACATTTCTATCTGAAGTTAAGTATTCCTAAGTTAATTTAGACCAGTTTGTTACTAGGAAATTCTCCCAAAGCTCTCCACTTTGTGCACTAGACTTGGTTTTCTAAGAATTTGTCCAAATTAAATGGATGGGGGCCATTGTGAATTTTAACCCAATTTGGTTGACTGTTCACTTTCAATTTACCTCATGCAAGAATCACACAGGCTATTTAGTCCTTCAGGCCTCTGGAAGCAAGAGACCCTGTTTAAGGTGTCTTTTACGACAGAATGACACCTTTGGTGTGAATTCCACATGCTAACCACTAGGCCACACCATCTCCTTTAAAGTTGGTAAACTAAACATAGCCTATGTCAAGCTTCCAGTCCGTGAAGGGAAGCATACAAGGGCAAGAGCAAAGATTGGCTGATATCAAAAAAAGGAAATACTGAGAGGACATGGAAATGTTTTTTATTAATGTTCCTCTGTTCCCTTTTCATTGGTCTCCTAGTCTCTTGTCTCCCCACTAGTTTCCTTCAGCTTTTCCACTCACCCCCACAAAAACTGACTGCTCAGATAAAGCTGAACTGAAACATGATTACTATGAATTTGAAAACACAGGGTTACAACAAATGGTTTAATTTTGCATTGCAGCAAACTTTTTTACATACTCTTTGGTCAATTCAAGGTAAAAGTCAGGTGGATTGGGTTTATAATCTTTGTATACCAGTCCATCTTGAGATCTTGGAATAGCTTCCTCAATTTGTGTTCCTTCGTGCCACTCATTAAATGAGGTGATTGAGACAATTTGAGGTTTAGTCTGCAAGGCCGCTTTCCAGCTGTTTTTGTAGTAATTTCCATTGTTCCTTGGTCGAGTGTTTTCACTATTCCAAGGCCGCACTCCAGTATCTATGTACCCTGGTCCTACACTTGGAATAAATAAGCTTTTAGTTTGCTCAGAAACAGATTTGAGTTGAGGCCAGGATCTCCAAGTTGATCCATATGTAAATTTGTCAGTTGCAAAGTATGTATAAATACCATCAAACCCACCAATGTCTATGTACTTTCTGTGGTTCATTTCAACCATCAGAGCAATAAATATACAGTCATATTTTGTGTTACGTACTGAGTGCAATCCTTCAGGTGTCAGCAACTGTGCCCATGATTCTGCTGGGGTATGATAAGAGTCATAGATATACAACATGGGTAAATCTCTCCCATCTTGTACCATGTATTTATAGAAAGCTTTATGTTTACCATAAGTGTCAATGATGTATTTGACATCATCGTGAAGTGTTTTATCATTCCTATCTTTGTAAGGCTCTATGTGTAAAGTCACTTTAAGCTTGTACTTATCTGCTGCATCTAAGAGTGTAGGTAC